CCCAGCCATAGAGTGGCCTCCGTTGGAGCCAGCCTGCCTCCCAGCACTGGGCGAGGGCCGTGCCTTCCCTCAGAGCTGCTGCTGGAGAGTGCCCTCCACCCTGCACTCTGCGCTACTCGCCTCGGCCCCACCTCCAGGCCTTTGCCCTGCCCCCCATCCCTCCCACAGCCCTTCGAGCTCAGCTCAGGCCCTGGATCCCCAGAAACCCTGTCCCTACACCTCCCTGCCACCCCTCCCTGACACACCCCTCTCAGTGTGTGGGGCTTGGCCAGAATCCTCCTTAGGCCCCAAGTCCTGCTTGGTAGCCGTCCTGCATCCCAGGTGGAGATCATGACCTGGAGACATCATGGCTCCCGGGGTGGCAGCTGAACCAGGTAGGGGCTGCAGGAGCTGCTGGCCCCTCCTTAGATCAAGCCCTGGTGCGCAGGGGCGCTCTGCCGTGACCCTCCATGGTCTCGTCTCCGTGGAGCTCCCCGCGGCCCTGACCACCCAAGGAGTGCTCAAGAACCAGCCCCGATACAAAAATACACTTTACTGTGAGCTTGCAGATTGCAGGCAGCAGGACAGGCACGTGACAGCAGGGCGGGCACGCAGCAGCAAGGCATGCAGGGCACCAGGCTCAGGGTACGAGACGCGCCAAGCAGCCGGGGCCCTCCTGACGGCCCGGCCCCAGAGCCTCAGGACCCTTGGTTTGGCCAGGCCCCTCCTACCCAAAGGCCCCAGAAGATTCTGGCCAAGCAGGTGGCACCAGTGCAGGCAGGGCAGGCCACCGCCTCAGGCCCCGCGGAGTCCAGAGGGGCGGGCAGGCAGAAGCAGCTGGAGAGCTCAGCCGGAAGCCAGCGGGCGGGGTGGGAGCCCACACCTGCCAGCCCAGCCCGCCCCTCAGCAATTTGTCTCTTGATTGAACATCCGAGGGACATCAAGCTCACAGACGTGTTTTCTTCTCCGTCTTCCTGAGGACAGCCAGGACGGGTAGCAGAGAAGGGCTTCAAGGTTCCAAGGGCCACTTGACACTTTGGGGCAGAGAGTTGGGGGAAGCACGAAGGAGCCTGCCTAGACCAAAGCAAGGGGCGAACAGCAGCGAAGGCAGCATCCAGGCTCCCCTCAGCAAGGGAAGGCGTGCGTGCGTGTGTGGGTGTGTGCATGCATGTGTGCGCACGTGTGGGTGTGCATGTGCACATGTGTGGGTGTGTGCATGTACGTGTGCATATGCGCGCATCTGGGTGTGTGCGTGCGTGGGTGTGCGCATCTGTGGGTGTGTGCGTATGCGCGCGTGGGTGTGCGCATCTGTGGGTGTGTGCGTATGCGCGTGTGTGCGTGCGTGGGTGTGCGCATCTGTGGGTGTGTGCGTATGCGCGTGTGCGTGCCTGGGTGTGTGCATCTCGTGTGTTTGCGTGCGTGGGTGTGCGCGTCTGTGGGTGTGTGCGTATGCACGTGTGTTTGCGTGCGTGGGTGTGCACATCTGTGGGTGTGTGCGTATGCGCGTGGGTGTGCATGTACGTATGCGCGCATGTGTGTGTGCACGCGCAGGAGCCATGGAGTGCACACCAAGCATTTGCTTCGGAAGAACACACTTGTGATTGAGCAGAGGGTGGATGGCACAGCCGCTGCACTGCATGGGGTGGGCAGCAGGGCGGGACTGGGCATGGTCCCACCTGGGTGCAGCCTGGCTGCGAGTGGCAGCATGGGCCACCCTCATTCCCACGGAGCGGGTGAGGGCCTCTGAGACCAGCCTGTCACACTGCCTCCTCAGTGAGCAGAAGGGCTGAGGCAGTCGTGGCATGTGGGGCAGGACATGGTCAAGGCAAGACTCTCCCTGGGGGCCGAGCTAGCCAGGGGCAGTGTGGCCAGGCCATGCGGGAACCCAAGGAGGGCCCAGAGGGGTGTGGTAGTGGGGCCGGAGGCAGCTCACTTCCAGCACTGCTCCAGGGAGCCGTGGGGCTGGACCTTGAGTCTCTGGGGGCACAGCAGCTTGGTGAAGGCCCGGCGGAAGCTGTAGTGGCACAGTGGGTAGAGGACAGGGTTGACGGCCGAGTTGGCCCACAGAAGCCAGAAGGACGTCTCGTACCAGTGGTCAGAGACGCAGCGGCCGTGGCAGGCAGCACGGACGATCATCAGCAGGGTGTAGGGGGCCCAGCACAGCCCGAAGATGCTCACGATGATGGCCAGAGACTTGGCCACCTTCTTGTCCCGTGACAGCCGGAAGCGCTGGGTGATGCTCTGGGACACCATCTTCATGCGCTTCTCCAGGGACGCAGAAGATGCGGATGGCTTGGAGCCCCTCTTGAGTGAGCGCGGCCTGTCGGTGCCCCTTGAGGAGCTGCCAGAGCTGGAGGTGGGCGAGGCCATGGCACCCCCACCACTGCTGCCCCCGGGGGCTGTCTCCCCGGCCTCGGCCCCAGGGGCCGTCTCGCCCACCCCGTACCTGTGTAGGGGCATGGCCTCTCCGTGCCCCTTCTGCCAGCAGCCCCAGCAACCAGGTGGCGGCGGGGGTGGCGAGGGCTGGGCCTCGGGCGGGGGCTCCGGGCCGGCTGGCTCGCGGGCCCGGTCCAGGCGGAGGCGAGCACGCCTCTGGATGTTCAGGTAGATACTGAGGTTGAAGAAGGCCACGCTGAGGAAGGGCGTGAAGAACTCGAGCGTGGAGGCCGTGATGAGGAAGTACCAGTTGTAGAAGAACTCGGCGTAGCAGTGGCCCTCAGGGATGGAGCTGCCGCCCGACAGGTGCTCCCAGCTCAGGATGGCCGGGCCGTAGAGCAGGAAGGCCAGCACCCATACCAGCACCATCTTCCGCACTGCCCTCCGTGTGTCGCCCTGCTGAGCTCGGTATGACACCTGCAGCGGGACAGGCCGGTCAGGGGACAGGGAGGCAGGAGCACCAGATCAGAGCTCCCAGCAGCCCTGGGTGTCGGCCATGGCAGCAGTGGCGTTCCCTCCTCCTCTCCCCTCCTTTCTCTTCCCTCCACCCATGCTGTGTGGCTGCCACCCTCTCCGAGAGCCCCAGCTGGGCTAGCCCTCCCCAGGCCCCTGAGTCCCTCCACACAAAGCTGCCTGTGAACTAGCTCTGAGGCCTGCACCCCTGATGCCTGGCCAGGCTGGGCTGTCCTCAGCAGCTCACTGTGCTCGGCAGGGTGGAGGGGGTTCCAGCCTGTCCCAGCATAGGCACCCACACCCTGGGGAGCGGGGCGTGACTCGGAGAACGCCCTGCACACCTGTGACAGGTGTCTGAGATCCACACCAGGACCTCTGCAGGAGGCTGGCTCCGAGGGCAGAGAGAGCCCCACTGTAGGGGCAGGGTGGCAGGAAGGGCTGAAGATCTTGTTGAGCGTCTCAGTGGGAGAGCCCCTCCCCTCCCAACCATTGCCATGGCTTTTCTTTCTTTTAGGTTTTGCCATAGGACGTCTTGCCAGAGACTGAGAGACGGTGAGAGGGAAAGTGAGAAATCACCTCCCTGGTGGGATGGCCACGCCGCAATCCCTCCTCCTAGGATTACAGAGACTGAGAGACAGTGAGAGGGAAAGTGAGAAATCACCTCCCTGGTGGGATGGCCACGCCGCAATCCCTCCTCCTAGGATTACAGAGACTGAGAGACAGTGAGAGGGAAAGTGAGAAATCACCTCCCTGGTGGGATGGCCACACTGCAATCCCTCCTCCTAGGATTACAGAGACTGAGAGACAGTGAGAGGGAAAGTGAGAAATCACCTCCCTGGTGGGATGGCCACACTGCAATCCCTCCTCCTAGGATTACAGAGACTGAGAGACAGTGAGAGGGAAAGTGAGAAATCACCTCCCTGGTGGGATGGCCACACTGCAATCCCTCCTCCTAGGATTACAGAGACTGAGAGACAGTGAGAGGGAAAGTGAGAAATCACCTCCCTGGTGGGATGGCCACACTGCAATCCCTCCTCCTAGGATTACAGAGACTGAGAGACAGTGAGAGGGAAAGTGAGAAATCACCTCCCTGGTGGGATGGCCACACTGCAATCCCTCCTCCTAGGATTACAGAGACTGAGAGACAGTGAGAGGGAAAGTGAGAAATCACCTCCCTGGTGGGATGGCCACACTGCAATCCCTCCTCCTAGGATTACAGAGACTGAGAGACAGTGAGAGGGAAAGTGAGAAATCACCTCCCTGGTGGGATGGCCACACTGCAATCCCTCCTCCTAGGATTACAGAGACTGAGAGACAGTGAGAGGGAAAGTGAGAAATCACCTCCCTGGTGGGATGGCCACACTGCAATCCCTCCTCCTAGGATTACAGAGACTGAGAGACAGTGAGAGGGAAAGTGAGAAATCACCTCCCTGGTGGGATGGCCACACTGCAATCCCTCCTCCTAGGATTACAGAGACTGAGAGACAGTGAGAGGGAAAGTGAGAAATCACCTCCCTGGTGGGATGGCCACACTGCAATCCCTCCTCCTAGGATTACAGAGACTGAGAGACAGTGAGAGGGAAAGTGAGAAATCACCTCCCTGGTGGGATGGCCACACTGCAATCCCTCCTCCTAGGATTACAGAGACTGAGAGACAGTGAGAGGGAAAGTGAGAAATCACCTCCCTGGTGGGATGGCCACACTGCAATCCCTCCTCCTAGGATTACAGAGACTGAGAGACAGTGAGAGGGAAAGTGAGAAATCACCTCCCTGGTGGGATGGCCACACTGCAATCCCTCCTCCTAGGATTACAGAGACTGAGAGACAGTGAGAGGGAAAGTGAGAAATCACCTCCCTGGTGGGATGGCCACACTGCAATCCCTCCTCCTAGGATTACAGAGACTGAGAGACAGTGAGAGGGAAAGTGAGAAATCACCTCCCTGGTGGGATGGCCACACTGCAATCCCTCCTCCTAGGATTACAGAGACTGAGAGACAGTGAGAGGGAAAGTGAGAAATCACCTCCCTGGTGGGATGGCCACACTGCAATCCCTCCTCCTAGGATTACAGAGACTGAGAGACAGTGAGAGGGAAAGTGAGAAATCACCTCCCTGGTGGGATGGCCACACTGCAATCCCTCCTCCTAGGATTACAGAGACTGAGAGACAGTGAGAGGGAAAGTGAGAAATCACCTCCCTGGTGGGATGGCCACACTGCAATCCCTCCTCCTAGGATTACAGAGACTGAGAGACAGTGAGAGGGAAAGTGAGAAATCACCTCCCTGGTGGGATGGCCACACTGCAATCCCTCCTCCTAGGATTACAGAGACTGAGAGACAGTGAGAGGGAAAGTGAGAAATCACCTCCCTGGTGGGATGGCCACACTGCAATCCCTCCTCCTAGGATTACAGAGACTGAGAGACAGTGAGAGGGAAAGTGAGAAATCACCTCCCTGGTGGGATGGCCACACTGCAATCCCTCCTCCTAGGATTACAGAGACTGAGAGACAGTGAGAGGGAAAGTGAGAAATCACCTCCCTGGTGGGATGGCCACACTGCAATCCCTCCTCCTAGGATTACAGAGACTGAGAGACAGTGAGAGGGAAAGTGAGAAATCACCTCCCTGGTGGGATGGCCACACTGCAATCCCTCCTCCTAGGATTACAGAGACTGAGAGACAGTGAGAGGGAAAGTGAGAAATCACCTCCCTGGTGGGATGGCCACACTGCAATCCCTCCTCCTAGGATTACAGAGACTGAGAGACAGTGAGAGGGAAAGTGAGAAATCACCTCCCTGGTGGGATGGCCACACTGCAATCCCTCCTCCTAGGATTACAGAGACTGAGAGACAGTGAGAGGGAAAGTGAGAAATCACCTCCCTGGTGGGATGGCCACACTGCAATCCCTCCTCCTAGGATTACAGAGACTGAGAGACAGTGAGAGGGAAAGTGAGAAATCACCTCCCTGGTGGGATGGCCACACTGCAATCCCTCCTCCTAGGATTACAGAGACTGAGAGACAGTGAGAGGGAAAGTGAGAAATCACCTCCCTGGTGGGATGGCCACACTGCAATCCCTCCTCCTAGGATTACAGAGACTGAGAGACAGTGAGAGGGAAAGTGAGAAATCACCTCCCTGGTGGGATGGCCACACTGCAATCCCTCCTCCTAGGATTACAGAGACTGAGAGACAGTGAGAGGGAAAGTGAGAAATCACCTCCCTGGTGGGATGGCCACACTGCAATCCCTCCTCCTAGGATTACAGAGACTGAGAGACAGTGAGAGGGAAAGTGAGAAATCACCTCCCTGGTGGGATGGCCACACTGCAATCCCTCCTCCTAGGATTACAGAGACTGAGAGACAGTGAGAGGGAAAGTGAGAAATCACCTCCCTGGTGGGATGGCCACACTGCAATCCCTCCTCCTAGGATTACAGAGACTGAGAGACAGTGAGAGGGAAAGTGAGAAATCACCTCCCTGGTGGGATGGCCACACTGCAATCCCTCCTCCTAGGATTACAGAGACTGAGAGACAGTGAGAGGGAAAGTGAGAAATCACCTCCCTGGTGGGATGGCCACACTGCAATCCCTCCTCCTAGGATTACAGAGACTGAGAGACAGTGAGAGGGAAAGTGAGAAATCACCTCCCTGGTGGGATGGCCACACTGCAATCCCTCCTCCTAGGATTACAGAGACTGAGAGACAGTGAGAGGGAAAGTGAGAAATCACCTCCCTGGTGGGATGGCCACACTGCAATCCCTCCTCCTAGGATTACAGAGACTGAGAGACAGTGAGAGGGAAAGTGAGAAATCACCTCCCTGGTGGGATGGCCACACTGCAATCCCTCCTCCTAGGATTACAGAGACTGAGAGACAGTGAGAGGGAAAGTGAGAAATCACCTCCCTGGTGGGATGGCCACACTGCAATCCCTCCTCCTAGGATTACAGAGACTGAGAGACAGTGAGAGGGAAAGTGAGAAATCACCTCCCTGGTGGGATGGCCACACTGCAATCCCTCCTCCTAGGATTACAGAGACTGAGAGACAGTGAGAGGGAAAGTGAGAAATCACCTCCCTGGTGGGATGGCCACACTGCAATCCCTCCTCCTAGGATTACAGAGACTGAGAGACAGTGAGAGGGAAAGTGAGAAATCACCTCCCTGGTGGGATGGCCACACTGCAATCCCTCCTCCTAGGATTACAGAGACTGAGAGACAGTGAGAGGGAAAGTGAGAAATCACCTCCCTGGTGGGATGGCCACACTGCAATCCCTCCTCCTAGGATTACAGAGACTGAGAGACAGTGAGAGGGAAAGTGAGAAATCACCTCCCTGGTGGGATGGCCACACTGCAATCCCTCCTCCTAGGATTACAGAGACTGAGAGACAGTGAGAGGGAAAGTGAGAAATCACCTCCCTGGTGGGATGGCCACACTGCAATCCCTCCTCCTAGGATTACAGAGACTGAGAGACAGTGAGAGGGAAAGTGAGAAATCACCTCCCTGGTGGGATGGCCACACTGCAATCCCTCCTCCTAGGATTACAGAGACTGAGAGACAGTGAGAGGGAAAGTGAGAAATCACCTCCCTGGTGGGATGGCCACACTGCAATCCCTCCTCCTAGGATTACAGAGACTGAGAGACAGTGAGAGGGAAAGTGAGAAATCACCTCCCTGGTGGGATGGCCACACTGCAATCCCTCCTCCTAGGATTACAGAGACTGAGAGACAGTGAGAGGGAAAGTGAGAAATCACCTCCCTGGTGGGATGGCCACACTGCAATCCCTCCTCCTAGGATTACAGAGACTGAGAGACAGTGAGAGGGAAAGTGAGAAATCACCTCCCTGGTGGGATGGCCACACTGCAATCCCTCCTCCTAGGATTACAGAGACTGAGAGACAGTGAGAGGGAAAGTGAGAAATCACCTCCCTGGTGGGATGGCCACACTGCAATCCCTCCTCCTAGGATTACAGAGACTGAGAGACAGTGAGAGGGAAAGTGAGAAATCACCTCCCTGGTGGGATGGCCACACTGCAATCCCTCCTCCTAGGATTACAGAGACTGAGAGACAGTGAGAGGGAAAGTGAGAAATCACCTCCCTGGTGGGATGGCCACACTGCAATCCCTCCTCCTAGGATTACAGAGACTGAGAGACAGTGAGAGGGAAAGTGAGAAATCACCTCCCTGGTGGGATGGCCACACTGCAATCCCTCCTCCTAGGATTACAGAGACTGAGAGACAGTGAGAGGGAAAGTGAGAAATCACCTCCCTGGTGGGATGGCCACACTGCAATCCCTCCTCCTAGGATTACAGAGACTGAGAGACAGTGAGAGGGAAAGTGAGAAATCACCTCCCTGGTGGGATGGCCACACTGCAATCCCTCCTCCTAGGATTACAGAGACTGAGAGACAGTGAGAGGGAAAGTGAGAAATCACCTCCCTGGTGGGATGGCCACACTGCAATCCCTCCTCCTAGGATTACAGAGACTGAGAGACAGTGAGAGGGAAAGTGAGAAATCACCTCCCTGGTGGGATGGCCACACTGCAATCCCTCCTCCTAGGATTACAGAGACTGAGAGACAGTGAGAGGGAAAGTGAGAAATCACCTCCCTGGTGGGATGGCCACACTGCAATCCCTCCTCCTAGGATTACAGAGACTGAGAGACAGTGAGAGGGAAAGTGAGAAATCACCTCCCTGGTGGGATGGCCACACTGCAATCCCTCCTCCTAGGATTACAGAGACTGAGAGACAGTGAGAGGGAAAGTGAGAAATCACCTCCCTGGTGGGATGGCCACACTGCAATCCCTCCTCCTAGGATTACAGAGACTGAGAGACAGTGAGAGGGAAAGTGAGAAATCACCTCCCTGGTGGGATGGCCACACTGCAATCCCTCCTCCTAGGAGGTCCAGGCGGAGGCGAGCACGCCTCTGGATGTTCAGGTAGATACTGAGGTTGAAGAAGGCCACGCTGAGGAAGGGCGTGAAGAACTCGAGCGTGGAGGCCGTGATGAGGAAGTACCAGTTGTAGAAGAACTCGGCGTAGCAGTGGCCCTCAGGGATGGAGCTGCCGCCCGACAGGTGCTCCCAGCTCAGGATGGCCGGGCCGTAGAGCAGGAAGGCCAGCACCCATACCAGCACCATCTTCCGCACTGCCCTCCGTGTGTCGCCCTGCTGAGCTCGGTATGACACCTGCAGCGGGACAGGCCGGTCAGGGGACAGGGAGGCAGGAGCACCAGATCAGAGCTCCCAGCAGCCCTGGGTGTCGGCCATGGCAGCAGTGGCGTTCCCTCCTCCTCTCCCCTCCTTTCTCTTCCCTCCACCCATGCTGTGTGGCTGCCACCCTCTCCGAGAGCCCCAGCTGGGCTAGCCCTCCCCAGGCCCCTGAGTCCCTCCACACAAAGCTGCCTGTGAACTAGCTCTGAGGCCTGCACCCCTGATGCCTGGCCAGGCTGGGCTGTCCTCAGCAGCTCACTGTGCTCGGCAGGGTGGAGGGGGTTCCAGCCTGTCCCAGCATAGGCACCCACACCCTGGGGAGCGGGGCGTGACTCGGAGAACGCCCTGCACACCTGTGACAGGTGTCTGAGATCCACACCAGGACCTCTGCAGGAGGCTGGCTCCGAGGGCAGAGAGAGCCCCACTGTAGGGGCAGGGTGGCAGGAAGGGCTGAAGATCTTGTTGAGCGTCTCAGTGGGAGAGCCCCTCCCCTCCCAACCATTGCCATGGCTTTTCTTTCTTTTAGGTTTTGCCATAGGACGTCTTGCCAGAGACTGAGAGACGGTGAGAGGGAAAGTGAGAAATCACCTCCCTGGTGGGATGGCCACGCCGCAATCCCTCCTCCTAGGATTACAGAGACTGAGAGACAGTGAGAGGGAAAGTGAGAAATCACCTCCCTGGTGGGATGGCCACGCCGCAATCCCTCCTCCTAGGATTACAGGCACACATGTCACATGCCTGCCGTGGTTTCTAAGCTGCCAGGTCTGGGACTCGAACCGCAGTTGGGCACCTGCTGGTCCCCCAGCCCAGTGGCTTTTATGGGAGCACTGGTCAGAGTCACGTGGTCAGAGGTGTGTGGACACCCGCTGTACACCGGGCCCTGTGCGTACTCTGCCCTGGTGTCAGCTGGGCTAGCCCTCACAACGGCAGCAGCTCTGGACGGCCCTCCTCCTGGTAGCCCCGGGAAGGAGGAGAGGCCACAGGTGCAGGGGCTCAAGAGCTCCCAGGCCCACCATCTCGTACTTCGAGGCTGGAACAGGACGTGCACCCCCAGACAGAGTCCCCACCAGACAGCCTCAGGCCACCTGACCCTGGAGAAGAGGGAGGCAGCACCCGTGACCCTGTGGCCACTCAGAGGATCCCTGTGGAGCTGGGAGCTGCTGCCTGTCCCCTGCAGCCTGTGTGTGTCTGTGTGTGCCAGGGACACACCAGGAGCTTTGGCCCCAGAGCCCTGGGACCCGACTTGCTGCAGGGTCGAGGGCGGCACCCTCCAGCAACGGCCAGACTTCCTGTCTCCGCTGTGCCAGGACCTCCCCAGCTGGCAGCAAACGGCCACTGAGCCAGTGGTTGGCCACAGAGCGCCCAAGTGCCAGGCGTGAGGCCAGTGGAGACCAAGCCGGTCAGGCACCTGCCCGTGGCTCGGGAGCAGCCGTCCCTCCCCGGTTCCCCCAGGGTCACCCCTGACTCCCGACTCACGGCCCGGGTGACGGACAGGAAGCGGTCGTAGCTGATGAGCACGATGTTGAAGACAGACGAGGTGCACAGCAGATAGTCCACCACCAGCCAGAGTTTGCAGAGGCCACGGCCGAAGGTCCAGCGGCCGGTCAGCACGTAGGGGACATACAGAGGGATGCAGAAGGCGCCTGAGGGAGAGGAGGGCTGTGGTGGGATGTGGCAGGGCAGATGGGCTACCCTAGGGAGGCAGCAGGACCTTCATCTTACCCTCCCTGCCTCCTAGGCCCTGCTGTGCCCACCCCACAGCCCCCGGGACTGGCAGCCCCTGCGCTTGAAGGCGGAAGGGAAGAAGACCGCAGGGCCTGCCTGGAAGCGACTCTGGGCTCTGCCCTCCGGGCCCTCAAAGGGAGGGAGGAAGAGAATTCCCCCCCACACCAGGAGACCCTCCTCTCCTGGATCGCAGCCCCTACCCGGCTTTGGACCACGCTCCTTCAACTGCTTGGAACCCGAGAAAGCCCATCTCCTGGCGGAAAGGGCGCTTGGCGGCAGCTACGCCGGCCCTCGCCCGCCG